GAAAAGCTCCTATAGTATTTGGAACTATTATCAGTATAAGCTCTTATTAGTAAATAAGAAGATTAATAAGAATCTCTTATTAGTATATAGTCATACCTATGCTGATTACTTGGGAGACTGCATATATATAGTCAAATCATTACTTTGATTACATATATAGTCATGCCTATGTCCAATCACCCTCACCCTACACCCACCAGTGGAGCAAAGCAAAATTCCAGGCATTTGGTCAGGGTGGGGGCTGCAGCTGCGACAAGGCAGGGGGAACTTTGAGGGCAGCGGGGAAATCTGTGACCAGCCGGGGCTGGTGCCTGTGCTTGTTGCAAGGGCTGAGCAGCCAGGAGATACTGCTGTGGGGAAGGAGGGGGGTCATGATCAACCTGCCTGGCACTGTGCAGCAGCCCCATCCCAGGGTTGGGGGTGCCACAAGCCTCCTCTTCTCTTCCCTCCAGCCCATGATGAGGCCAGACACACTCCACCACTGCCTGCATGAATCAGAGCTGCTGCGCTCCAGCCTGATCAAGATGGTGAAAGTTGGGGCTCCTCCAGCAGGACTGGGAGTGCAGGGGGCTGTGGGTCAGGAGTGAGGGGCACAGGGAGGAGGGGGAGGTGGAGGGAACTGGCAGTGCCAGGGCGTTGCAGGCTGGGAACCCAGGGTGGCAGGGTATGGCAGTTTGGGAGTGAGGGACACTGGCAGAGCTGGGGGGGTGTGGCTTGGCAGTGAGGGGCAACAGCGGGGCATGGCATCGGTGTGTCACTGCCCCACTGTCATATTCCCCTGCCACCCCCTCATGAATGACAGGTGTCCTTTCTTTTTGGACCTGGAAATATGGCAACCCTACATGGCCTTACATGTTGAAAAAATGGAATGAGTCAATGCTTAAATAACTTAAAATTCTGGACCCCGGAGACTACAGGGAACAGAATCTCCCTGCTGGTAACACTTGGAAAATCCCATTGCTAGCAGCTCGACACTTGCGGGTACTCAGATATTAATTTGGAAAAGAGATTTTAGAAAAACGTTGGAAAAAGCACCTTCAACGTTACTTTCTGCATGAGAACATAAAAGCCATATTGGGTCAAGTCACTTGACCCAGTATAGGGTCTCCAGCAGCAGAAAACAGTAAATATTTTAGAGGGAAAGTAGAGTGACTCAGCCTCTGTAATGCTCTTCCTTGTAGCTCCCAAAGAACCAGTCCCTTCCTGAATTATAGTTTCATAGTTTCTAGGGTCGGAAGAGACCTGAGCAGATCATCTAGTCTGACCCCCTGCCATGGCAGGAAGAGCACTGGGGTCAAATGACCCCAGTAAGGTGGTCATCCAACCTCCTCTTAAAAACCCCCAGGGTGGGAGCCTGCACCACCTCACTTGGAAGCTGGTTCCAGACTCTAGCCACCCTGACC